TAAAATCATCTATATTTTAATATAAACACACTTATTTACATGAAATATAATAGATTTAACTAAATCCGCCTAGTCTGCCTAGGCGCCCGCCTAGACCCCGCCTAGCCGCCTAGGCGCTAGGTCCCATCCCGCCGCCTGACTAGCGCCTAGCATCTTTTAGAACGTTGGTCTTTAGTAAATTTGATTTGGAATCATCTAAAGGGCAATATTTCGTGTTGTCATTGAATTTCTATTCTCTTTCTGCAGGTACTGGAATTTCAAGGAATAAGTTCGAGAGTTTGAGCAATTTGGATGAAAACTTTCAAGGCACCCTTGTAAGTGTTGTTAACTTACATGCATATACCCAACTGAGCTTGTACTTTGAAATTATATGCTAGTTTCTCCCGAGAAGCAAGAGTAAGGCGGGGGGAGGGCGGAGCTGGGGAGTTTATGTAGTTATTCACTAATTGAGTGATTGTGTAACTTATAGATTCTTACTAAAATGATTCAGGATGACAATGAGAGCTCGAAAGCAATGGTGGCAGTAGATGCTTGTAAGCCTAGTGTGAAGAAACTCATGGAAGAAGAAATGTCCAGTGAGCAGGACATGAAGAAGGAGATAAGCAATGATGTAGTGGAAACTAGACAGTCTGATTCAAGCCAGAGCAGAAAGGACCACAAAAGAGCAAAGAAGACTCGCAAGAAAAGCCATGATATGGACAACCATAATTTGAATGCTTTTGAGAACTCAGAATCTGGATGCTCTTGCAATCAGAATCTAGAGCAGAAACCTAGAAGTAACGTTGGCATGGATGAGATAATAGAAGAGGTATGTTGCCAGATCCATCAGAAATATATTAATGGTGTGAATCATGATGTGAATGGTGAAGCTCCGGCGAAACCAAACTACAAGCATTCTGATTTCGAAGAGAAATTATGCGTGGCAATCAAGGAATTCATGAATCATAAGTTTACTGATGGGAAACAACTTACGGAAGATCAGAAAATCCACCACTTCAAAGAACTACTGGATGCGCTCGAGGTCTTAAGTTCAGATGAGGAATTGCTTCTGAAACTTTTGCAGGATCCAAACTCACTGTTGGCAAAACAAGTCCAAATGTTGCAGGATGCTCAGATAGAGAAAGATGAAGAATGCGTTTCCTTTGCAGAGTCCAAGTTGGCCGAACAGAAGCTTGGTGATGTTAAACAATCTGAGGAGCTTGTCAACCGTAAACAGCGGTACTTTTTCAGGAGAAAGGTCAAGCCTCAGGAAAGAAACCCAAGCAAGGAAAATGAGGACTCTGAAGCTTCAAAGATGATCGTCATTTTGAAGCCTGGGCCTCCAGCATTACAAAATTCTGAAATTGAAGATGGTACAACCCCAGAATCCCATAACAATGTAAGAAATAAAGGGCCAAGTGAAAGATCCCACTTTTTTCTCTCGGAAATAAAAAGGAAACTGAAGAATGCAATGGGAAAGCAACACCATGGGTCATCTACTGTTGGAAGTTCAAACAAACTGCCTTATCAGCGTCAAAATTCGGGAGGTAGAGACAAAGGAATTGGTAAGGAAAAACTTGAAAGTTCCTCTGGTAAAGAACATTTCTACATTGAAAGAATTGCTAAACCTTCCAGTGGTGTCAAGAGGGCAGAAAAGACTGGGAAAGTGAAAGAATCTGAAATAAGTTTGAAAAATGAAAATCATGGCCTTGCGGATGAAAGGCTATCTAAACTCTACATTGAGGCCAGGAAGCATCTCTGTGAGATGCTGAGTAATGGAGATGAAGGTGTAGATATCTCAAGACAGCAGTTTCCTAAAACCTTGGGGAGGATTCTCTCTCTTTCGGAGTACAACGTTTCACCTTTTGGCAGTCCTGGAAGGGACTTGGAGCACGGCTTTGTTACGGCACAGATGAGATTATCGGTCTATGACAAACTTTTGAAGGCCAATGAGAATAAAAGGTCTCCTAAGCGAGAGAAGAATGTCAGCCCTCTTGGTGAGGTAGCAGTAGCACACAACTTAGAGAGTCTGCCATCTGTTTCAGACAACAACGTTGATTGTAAAGTACAGCCTACTAACTCAATACCAAGCACCTCAGATAATCTGATTCATGATAATGAAGTTGAAGAAATCCATCCTTTCATCATGGATGAGAAGAACTCTGAAGGTATTGATTCTCTGAGCTGTTGAATTTACAATGACAAACATTTTGAATCTTTGATTAGTGTCTCTGCTTGCTTTTAAATTCTTTGGTATTTTAGCATTTTATAATTTTTTTGTAGGTGATGTCAAGATTGAAAAAGAAAATGAAATTGTTGTTCGGGAAGAAGCTCTCTCTGAACGCAGTGGTTCTTCAGTTGCCATAAATGACCAAAATGAGGACATGTCTGAAATTTTTAATGATAAAAGATCTTCGGAATGCTCACAACAGGTAATACTATCTTACTTTATTGTGCATATGATTTTTTCTTCTTTTATTTTCAAATTTTCACATGTGAAGAAAAACTGTGTTAAGATGAGTTACAGTTTGAAATCAACATTTTTATTGGGTAAATCAATATATTATTCTCTGAAGCTCTGAAACACATTTAAAGGTCTTTCAAGATCTACAAAAGCTATTTCATGTAATGTATATATCTAAATCTTTAAACAAATGACCAAACACATGCTTTCTTTTGTTCTCCCTAACCAAACACCAAGCTCTTATGAAAAAATGTCACCTGTAATGATGTATTATTGGATTTTCGTCTTTGTCAACATATAAGGATGACGGGATGAGAGGGGCATTACTGGGCAAGACCCAAATATTAGTCTTATCTACATGTGCATTTTCTTTGGTAAACTTGCTGGTTATATCCGCCATCTCTATCCTGACAATCATTTTTACCTATCTTCCAGGATTCATATGACGAAAACCCAGTGCAATCTTCTTCATTAGCATCCCCTTCCAGCTCTTCAACCACCAAGCATGTTGAAGATTTAGAAAGTGCTATTGATATACAAGAGCGTCCAAGTCCTGTTTCAGTTCTTGAGCCACTATTCACAGAGGATGATATCAGCCCCGGGAAAACGATTTCTCGATTTGGTATGCTTCATACTAAGACAGTTGATTGACTTCAAATCGTTGTATGCTTTTTGCATTTCTCCATTAATATTAATTCATTCACTGATCTGCAGGAGAGCTACAACCACTAAAGATCGAATTTGAAGATTATGAGCCTTCAGCCACTGAGCAAGCTAACAATGTGAAAACCTGTACAGAAGGCAAGGAACTAATGTTTGATTTTGTAAAAGCAGTCATGCAAGCCTCCAGCTTCAATTGGGATGACTTCTGTATGAAGTGGCTTTCCTCTGACCAACTTATTGAGCCATCATTGTGTGATGAGGTAGAATTTTTTCCTAACCAGCTTTGCTATGAGCCGAAGCTCCTTTTTGACTGTATTAATGAAGTTCTGCTGGAGTTCTGTGGGCGTTATTATGGTTGCTTCCCTCGGGTGTCATCCGCGAAACCTAGTATAAGGCCAATACCAGATATGAAAACTGCTATAGATGAGGTCTGGATCGAAGTTTATTGGCATCTCCATCCACTTCCATTGCCTCGTACATTGGACCAGATTGTCACAAAAGACATGTCAAGAACTGGAACGTGGATGGACCTTCGATTTGATGCTGATATCATTGGTGTCGACATGGGTGAAGCCATTCTCCAAGAATTGATGGAAGACGCCATATTAAGCTATGTAGAAGGAAGTCTCAGAAGTGAAGATACTTCAGTTATGGCTGAGTCAAATGAAACAGAGAGCATTCTCAACTTATAAAACTCAGTCTGACTTCGATATGCCCATACCGAATACCAAGCCACCTTCTCGCTGAGGCAGTTGGAAAGCAAGTCATGTATGTGCATCCAAAGGGTGAGAAGCAAAATTTTAGCTTTCTTGGAGCACCATGGATCTGGTAGGAATTGGCTTTGCAACTTTGTTAACTGAAATCATGTAGATGGTACATAATCTGTCACATGTCAAAACTAAGGCTCACGGGGCGCCGGGAGCAGCAGTCATCACCTGAAAGTCCTTGATAGCTTGGGAACCGATATTCGGTCAGAACTCGGAAACTTTTCTGCAAGTCGATTATACAAGACAGATAAGTAATTTTGAGAGTTGTTCTTATTAAGTGTAGATTTATAGAGGGTTGGAGTGTTTAGTAGAGGGTGTTGTTGATTTCATTCATTGTCAACTGTGTTCTTTGTATTTTACTGTTGTATTTGAAACCTGTAAGGGTTGTTTTGTGACTGACTATTACTGGTGTTGTAATTAGCAATTACAAAGAAAATAAAAAGCTCATGCTAAGTTTGTTGTGTGGATTTAACAAGTTGGATTGTAAATTTGCATTTCTGAAAAAATTATATTACATATGAAGTGGAGATTCTGTTATTTACTCCAATTGATGCAAGTGTTTTTCAATCTTAAAAGTAAATTAAGAAGTTAGCAAATTTTATTTATTTTTACGTTTACAGACGATGGTATAACGTAGACAAAATTCATATAAATTAGAGGGAGGAGGTTCGAACTTGATGTAGTGGTGAACGCATACTGCTCTAGCCAACTTGATTAAGCCCAAGTTTGCGGAAATTAGCAGACATTGAATTCAATACTGGTATGTTTGGGCGAGGAACTTTCAAATTTTAAGGGATTTAAGCATGGTGATGAAGAAAATGATTTTGATAGGAGTAGGAGGGTTTAAAAATGCACCACATGAGCATTTAAAAAGGCATATACAGGAATTTGCAAATGACTACTTTCCTCTTATCTAACTTTTTGTGATCTATTTCTTCGAGTTGCCTGAATACCTTGAAATTTCGAAGTTGGATTTCACTAGCGCTCTTGACGATCTTGCGAAATTCATATTGCTACTTTAGATAAATCTTTTGTTTATTCTTTTTATCTTTATTTTTGAACTGAAAAACTGTATTAACTCTACCTTGATTTGAAACTTGTTAGGTGAATGTTACCACACAAGCCTCTTTAATAATAACGAAAAAATTATTTCTTAAGAAAGTGACTAAATTAATACAACAATGTTGTGCAGAGCAGCTCATTTGGCTCCCGTAACACAATTTACAGATACTACACAAATTAGCATTCTCATGAATTTGTAGTTGTACATTAACTCTATGCACGAAAATTGTATGGGGTTGAGTGAAAGAGAACCAAGGCTCTAGAGATTCACTTCCGACAATGTGAGATGGCTAATTTTCTTTTCCTAAGATAAGTTGAAATGGTTACTTTTGCCTTTTCTTCGCCCGTAGAGATGGGGTTACTGGAGCTGCCGGTCTTTTCTTTGCAAACGCACTGGTTCTGCTGTCTTCTTCATCATCATCGTTGTCATAATCTCTAGCAGCTAGTGCAGACTCCTCCGCAACTTTGGCAGCATTTCTTCTTGCGGCATCCAACTTGTAATGTAATTTCCTTTCAAGGGGATCATTTGAAGGTACAAATTTGGATGGCCGGGGAACTACAGCACCTAGTCCAAGCCTGCAAAATCCAATAACGAGTTCTGCAGAAAGTCAACAACGATACATAACAGCCAATGTAAACAAACTGAAGATAATTATACTCTTAACCACCCAAATAAATAAATGAATCAACTTGCCTAGCAGGTCGAGCATGTATTTCAAATGGCTCATCTTCTGCAGGTTCACTCATGGTATTAAGCCATTTTTTAGCCTGCACATCAGTCAATTTTCATACACAAAGAAAGTTAGCTTTTTGAATGTCAACAACGTTGCAAAGAACCGTATAGTACTTAAAACACCACGATTCATGACACCCCATTCATAAGGATTGTCAACCAGATCGCTATGGCATCAATAGCAAAAACAATGCCCATAAGCATAACCATGTAAAAGTCGCACAATCCTCAGCGTTATCATGTACCCAAAAAAAATCCCATTTGAAACATCCTGGGGAGGTTTCAAAATTAGTACAAATTCGAACGCCATTATTTTCTTGTCTGATAGCCAGCTACATATATTCACAACCCAATTACAGATGACAAAACAACCTTTTAGGAGTGATCACACACACACACACACACAAAGATACACAACTCCCAAGAAGCAACCATTTCATATCATCAAATCTCAAATTCTAACCGATGTACATTCTATGCCAGGTTCGGGTTGCTCTAGACCATATAGACCAGACATGCTAGGAGTAACCAGAAATGTACATTGTTCATAGCACCATGGGGAAAAATCATCTCACCAAATCCAAAGCTCTATCCAATTTAACTATTCCGGGACGTTTCTTTTTCTGCGGCGTCTTGTCGATGCTCATTGCAACTCCTTGCACAGCCTGCAGAAGATAAAACAGCCTTGAATCATAAGCATACCCAACGAATACTTTCTTATTTATTAGCAAGTAAAACCCAATTCATCAAGTAACAGCTAATTAGCCAAAAGGGTTTTGGCCGAAAGCTACAATCATTCGTTTCAGTTTGAAGCATCGAACCAACAATGTGGATTGCAACCTAAAGTCTGTACTGAGCCTACAATTTCAAGGCACTTTAAAATCAAAGCTACCCTAACGGTACTGAAATATTGGCAAACCCAAATCAAATCAGAAAATCTAACAACGAAAACACCATAACTGAAGCCGATACAAAGCTAGGGTTTTGAACAACGTACCAATTCCCAGAAAAGCCAAGATATTGGGAAGGTTTGAATTGGGTTCTGAGCAGGAGTGAGGATTTTAGGGTTCTTTTATGGCAATGGCGTGCAAAAGGCCAAGACTTTGGAAGAAAGAACTGCGAAAATAAAAGTGAAAATTTGAGATTGCAACGGCGAGGGTAAGAGATTCAAAGAGAAATAAATGGATTTTCAGAATTCGAAAAAGAGAGAGATTGATGCTTTTTACAGGTTTTCTTTTGTTGGGCTTCAACCGAACAATAGGACGCACATAAAAACTGTGGAATCTCGAAATAGAATCGAACCATGATAAATAAACCATATCGACCAAAAAATGTCAACGTAGATTCAAGAATCGGACTAAATCGTTTAATATCAGTTTCAGTTTTTATGTTGATAGAACCGTTTAAAACTGAACCGTAGCTATAAATAATTAATTAAATTTAATAGTTGTATACAGGTGTTACTAAATGAGTGGTGGAAACCAAACTAGTTTCATCTAGTGTGAACGCATGAGAGGATTTCTCGATTAGGTCTTTCACTTGTACGGTTCACCTATTGAGATAAGGCACGTATTTGAAAAAAGAAGGTCATTTTCCTTCGAAGATATCCAAATTTGACATTAAAGTTTTGATTTCATATTTTTCTTGGATAGAATGATCTTAAGTTATTCAATTACATCCTCCATTTTTCTTTCCTTTTTTCCTGAACATTTTTTTTAATCTCTTGGGAAGTCACTTTTGGGCTTAAATTATTGTATTCGTACTAACATTCTTACTGGATAGCGGATGTATTTGTATATGTATTTTCGTCTAGAACACCCCTTAGTGCTTAGTTTTGTGTATTTGAGTCTAGTTTTCAGTTTTTGAGTCAAGTTAGTGTAGATTAGCATCCCTCCTTATCTCCAGCCTAGAACGATCCCTACTTACACATACTACAATTATCTAAAAGTAGGTTTAATTTGTGTGTTAGTTTTGACCACATCAGATCTATATAGCTTAACAATATTTTGTCTTCTACAATGTTCCTGAATCTTAGAAGGTGATCACTGTCTTCCTTCATTTAGAGAATGAGGCACTACAATGGTTTCACTGAAGAGATTGCTTGAACTCTACATCAACTGGGGAGAATTCACAAAGGCTCTTTGCCAGAAGTTTGGGTAATTGGAGTTCGAAGATTACACAAAGGCCTTGTTTGAACTCAGGCATACAGGTACACTTAGAGAATATATCATTGAGTTTCGTAGATTGGCTAATCATACAACTGATGTATGATTTATCTTATTGAAAAGTTATTCTTCAAGAGGGTTGAAACATGAGCTGAAATTTGATGTTAAACTATTAAAACCCTTTATTGTGCATGATGCAATTGCTATTGCCTTACAAATTGATGCCAAATTAACTAAGTTAAGACCACTAGCTCTTAAGGCCTTGTATAGCCATAAATATATGCATACACCAGTACCTATTGCACATGTACTAAGACCAAAACCTCGTGCCTTGCCATTTAAGAAACTTACCCCCAACAAGAAGTACGAAGAAAGAATGATAGGTGAAATGTTAGTTATGTGAAGAAAAATCGGTTAATGGGCACAAGTGTGCACATAATCAACTCTTAATTCTTGATGTATTGGCTAATGACCTAGAATTGGAGGAAATAGGAGAAGCATTGCATACTAAAAAGCCTGAACTGCAGCATATGGAGTTAAGTGAGTGTGTTTTTTATGGCACATCCTCCAACGAAATTTTACAATTTTACAAACCATGAACTTAAATAATGTGGTCAATTGTCAATCAGTGAGAACTTCTTCTAGATTCGGATAGTACCCATAATTTTGTGGATGCTAGGCTAGTTAACAAAATGGGGTGGCAAATACAAAGCATTAAACCATTTGAAGTGATGATTGTTGATGAAGGTAAGGTGAGAAGCCAGGGTTATTGCAAACAAGTTCCTATGGAAGTAGGTGATTACCATGGTGCTAATGACCTTTATTTTGTACCATTGGGAGAGTGTGACATAATACAAGGGGTACAATGGTTATCTTCAGTGAGTCCAGTGCTGTGGGACTTTTAACTTACTATGAAATTTGAGGTAATAAAGAAGAAGTACAAATAAAAAAACAGTTTATTACCACAACCTTCTGTGCATGAAGTTTCTCTTCAACAATTAGACAAAGAGTTGTATAATTCTAATATAGGGATTTTGTTGTATTTGAGAGCATGATACCACTAAATAAGAATGCTTCCCTTAGACATTAAAAAAAACTGCATTTTAGGACAAATGAGCGACACTATGAATTCCTTATGATGTCTTTGGATTAACCAATGCCACAACCACCTTTTAGAGTCTAATGAATGACATCTTCAAACCATTCCTCGGACAATTTGTATCAGTGTTCTTTGATGATATTCTGATGTACATCAAGAATTGGGAGGACCACTTGTTTCACTTATAGTTAACATTTGAGCTATTAAGGACTCATCAGTTGTATGTGAAGAAGCAATAACTATTCTTATGGGTAAAGTAAAAGAATATATGAGACACGTTGTATATAGGAATGATGTGGCAGTTGACCCTACAAAAATTCAAACTATAGTGGAGTGGCCAATTCCAGCAAATGTAAAAGAGCTCAGGGGGTTCTTGGGACTCACATGATACTATATAAAGTTTGTGTCTGGTTATGGTAAAATATGTCAACCTCTTTATCAATTGACAAAGAATGATGGGTTTCAGTCGACTCAAGAATCTCATGAGGCTTTTCAACACCTCAAGCATGTCATGACCTCTCATCAGGTCCTAGTTTTACCTGATTTCTCCACTCATTTTGAACTGGAGTGTGATGCTTCAGGAAATGGCATTGGTGCTGTCTTGCAATAAACATGTAAGGCAATTGCTTTTACAAGTCAAACCCTAGGACAAAAAACAAAGAACTCTTCACATATAAGAGAGAGAATTGATTACAATTGTTCCATGCCATCAAAAAGTGGCAAAACTATCTCCAAGGGTGCCATTTTGTGATCAAAACTGACCATAATAGTTTGCAATACGTCCTAAATCAGATTGCAAATACTCTCTTTCATAAAAAAAAAATGGGTGGCAAAGTTACTAGGATTTGATTATGAGATCTATAAGCATGGAGTTGATAACACTATGGCTGATACATTGTCTAGGGTTCTAGGATCTTCTATCTTACCTAAAACACATTTGGAATATGAAATTCAAGGCCAAGAGTGCAAAGCCATTTCATATCCATACTTTGGGTGGTTGGATAAGCTCAAGATGAGTCTAGAACAAGATCTATGGATTTCACAAATAACAAGTGAAGTGAAAAGGAGTTTTGCAAGATCAAGTTTCAAGTGTGGATTCAGCTAGATCCAATTATCACTTAGACAATGGTTTTCTAAAGAGCACCATTCTACTCCTATGGCAGGTCATAAATGGGTTTTAAAAACTTATCATAGTGTTAAAAAAGAGTTTTATTGGGTAGGGGTGAATCTTTGGCTACAACTGTAGTGACACTTTGGACAATTAATTTTAGTTTTAGGGAATTCAAATATTTTGATATAATTGGAGAAATTCTTCCATACAAATGTTGTTTTTAGATTAATCTTCCATATACAAAGTTCTTTTTATATTTACTATTTCTCATGCTAGTCTTGATAATTTGATCAATTATTATTCACATCTACACTTTTGCATGCTAATCTTGATTATCTGATCAATTATTATGAAAAACACATCAACTTGTGCGTTAGACAATCAATATGTAATGCCCCAATTCATATATATATATATATCTCTCTCTCTCTCTCTCTCTCTCTCTCTCTCTCTCTCTCTCTCTCTCTCTATGTGCGTGTGTGTTTATTTGCACGCATGCATTTTTGCACTTTGAAAGTAAGCTCTCATGCTATAAATGGAGAAAGGAAGCCTAAAAGTTCATTGTTATTAGTGGAAGTATGTTATAAAAAAAGGTATGATATTAACCAAGTGCATGTACATCTCCAAGGATGAGACATATATAGTTATCTGGAGGAAGTCTACCTGTTTGGAAATGGCAAGAGCAAAGTAAGGGAAATGACATGTAAATAGCTCTCTTAAAAAATAATTACTTTTTTGCAAGTCCATCCATTTAGCAAGAGCAAGGCAAGAACAAAGGCAATTGTTGTTCACAAATATATTTTTTAAATATTTTATATGTGCAGGGGCATTTACTCTTATAATTTTAAATACACACTGACCTCTCATTTACTTCTTCCATATTCTTTTTCTTTGACGAAACTCTCTCTCTCCTCTTCCCACCACCTAATTTTCTCATCGAATCCACAAAGCCCAAGAAACTCTTCTACGCCACCACCCAAACTATCTCTCTATCCCTTCCTCCCACTACCCAATTTCCTCCTACCACTCAAACTCTATCTCTTCTTCTTATAGACAACAATCTGCCGATAACAATATGAGAGTCAGAAGATTCATTAGTTCCCAGCTTTGAAAGAAGTTGATGTTAAAGATGCTGCACAAGGTCCAAGCTCTGGACGTTTACAATATAAGGTCAAGCACTTGCTCAAGCTGGAGAACGCACACCTGTGGTCAAATCACACCCAGTTCCACCGGCATAATGTCATATCGACATCAACTTGTTCTTTGGTGTAAGGCTAAACTTAAATTGCAAAGGCAGTTGGCAGGCTTTGCATGGCCCACCAATTGCCCTCCACATAAATGAACTGCTAAAAGTGGTTTTTTGGACGAAAGGGCAATTTTACAGCTCATACCTTACCCTTTGGATAACATGTGGACTTGCTCTTAGGGCATATATTGGAAAGCTACATCACTGCCCTCCATCTATGATGGTGTCCTAAGAGCATCCCTAATGGAGGCTTTATCCTCTTTTGAGGCAGCTACATTTGTAGCTTTAGTGAAAAAAAAATTCATCTTCAATGGGCAAAAAAATAGGGTTACATCCACCACATGAGCTAGCAACTTCATTCATTAGGTAGCAAAAAAAATTAGGCTATATCTAACCCCAAAAATCAAGGGACCCACAACAATTGAGGACCCGGTCTTGGTTTTTTTTGTTTTTTTGTTTTTAGTTTAGAAATGGGTAGGCTTGATTTCTAATTCCAAAAATAATTTCAACGATTTATTTTTTAACCGTTTGTTTGTTAAGAAAACATAAACAAAAGGCTATTTCTTGTGTTATTGATCAAGAAAAAGATATTGTGCTTTGTGTTAATTTTCTAGATTGAAAAGTGATGCAATGAATATTGGTAGTTTAGAGACCTAAACTGAAAACATAAATAAACAACATACCTAAATTGTAAGGGCATTACAATTTTGTTATTTGACGGCATAAACAAACAAATCCAATGGTT